TTTCCTGGAGCAGGTAAACTCCCACACATCATTGGAGGATCAGATCTAGTAGCTCATCATGCTCAAAAGAATGCAGAACTAGAAGAGTGGTTGAGACAGGAAATGGAGGTTAGTAAGAAGCGGGGCCTGTGATTGTGTGAATGCACTTTGCTGCTTTGTGGTTTCCTCACCACAGATTATTTGTCAAACTCATGAGATGTGACCTGAGGTCTTGGTTCAGTAAGGGAATTCTAGATTTATATTGTTAGTTGAAATAAATATATGCCTAAAGAGATCTAATGGGAGGATTTAATCCACAAAAATTTTAAAGGAAACTGAAGAATTACAATGAGAAGTATGGCAGTGTGATCACATGGAAGGTATATAGCTCTGTCCAATGATAACTCTGTGAGAGTGGACTGGCCTTTCTCAGTCTAGGAATTGTTTTTCAGCATTTCTGAATATTTTTTCATTATTTACTTGAAGATTACCATTTTTCTGTGTTCTCTGTTCTCTAAAATCACATTTGGCATAAGTTAAATTTTCTCACTTTCCTTGTCGCTCTTGTTTGTCCGGATTGTGTTTTTGGTAGTTTGCTCAGATTGTCTTCTAGTTTACTACATGTCTTCAGCTCTGGTTCGTGTTGCATTTATCCAGTGAGGTTTTAATTTAATGTATTGTTATTTTTTTATTACTAGATATCTGTTTTATTCTCCTAAATCTTATTCCCTACTGATAATTTTGTGCAATGATACTAGTACCTACAATACTGTTGGGAGGTGTTTTGCTGTTATTTGTGAATTTATACTTTAAAGTCTTTAAACATGAGCTGTTTTGCTTGGAACATAATCTGTAATGCTTCCTTTAGTGTATTTAAAATTCATGTTTATTTGATTTTTTTTGAGATAGGGTCTCACTGTATATTCCAGGCTGCCTCCAGCTCAGTCTTATCTTCTGTTTCAGAGTCCTTTATGGTTTTTGGTTTTTGTTTTGTTTTGGGTGGTAGTGTTGTGCTGGTGATTGAATTTAGCACCTCCAGCTTGCTAGCCAAGCGCCTACACTGAAATATATCCCCAGCCCATATTCTGAATTAAAATATTTTCTTGTCATTTTGTGCGTTTTCCCAGCAGTTAATGTGTACTGGAACAGAGTGAGTTGCAGTCATCCTTTTGTTACATACTTCAATTATAATTTTTAATTCTTGCCTTTACTGAGTACCAGGATCAAGATAATCAAGGTTGCTATTTCCTCCTCTGTTCTCTTTCTCCTTTTGGGCTTGTTCTTTTATTAGAGTACCTATCCAGGGTTTTCTTTCATATCATCAATATTTC